CGTAGCAGTCAGCAGGTTAATTACTCAGATTCCCCAGATGATTTATTAGCTAGTCCGCACTTAAAGTCTTATGAGGGGGTGATAACCACCTTGTAGCCAGATACAGAGTCACTTAGGTTAAATTATGTAGAGTTATTTAGAGTTCTTAAGTCCTGACTTTATAAATTTATGAGAAGCCAGTTTCTCTGGGAGGAAGGGTTAAGAAAGAAAAAGAGCAAGTTGGTTTCGTTTCCGAGCTGTGGCGTAGTAAAGAAAACTCCAGTATTACAGGCCTCCACAAAGTTATGCCGCTTGAGATCTCCTTCTCATCAGGTTACCAAATAGCAGATTTGATCTTTTACTTGCTGTAGCTTAGCAGCAGATCGTTAATCTCTGTTCTGCAGTCAGATAATAAATCTCGATACCTTCCCCCTCCAAGCAGCTAACTCACCATCATGGCGACTTCACGAGACAGATTGCATGTAAGAAAGGAACTCTTCCAAAAAACAGACTGCCATCTGCAATTCGGTGGTTCCAAAGCCCCCACTTGCAAACAAGCCCCACTCTCCTGTGGGAACTTGCCCCCCTCTTCTCCGGGGGGGTCCTCTGACTCAGAGTAAACCCAGGGGAATCCATAGCTCTGGAATTCCCCTGTTTTCGCTGCTCGTGGCTCCTCCCTCGGGACTTTTAGAGGTGTAATTGAGATGTTGCGGGAAATAAGATGTGAGATTCGGGCTTTCATTTTTTAAAAGAAGCTTGTTTTTAGTGTAATTCTATGTGTATTCCTTCTGAAGTAACTTCCTTTTAAAATTTCATTTACTTGGCTTTTCTCCTAGGAAAATGTGCATGAGACTGCAGCCTTGCAGTGCAAGCATATAACATGTCTGTTCAGAAGCAAGTTCCATTCATTTAAATGGGATTTACTTCAAGATAAGTATGGGTAAGATTGCAGCCTTGCACTATTTTGTGGTTAATTTCTTGGAGGCATTTGAAAAATACAAGTGGAAGAATTTTTTTTGCACTCTTCATGTAAGACTACAGTCATATTAGAGGTCTTAGATTCAACCATCTCCCTCTGTATTTTTTGACAAGGTCTTTCAACAAGGTTTTACACAACTCTCTACTTTCATACACAAGATTCTAAAATTGAGTTCAAGTCTTATTTTGGGAGGAAGCAGTCTTGGTCACCCTGGTGAATAAAGTAAGCCAAGAGCTAGGTAGGTGAAATGCATCTCTTTCGGTTGTGCTGGACCTCAGTGGCATTCAGCACCATTTATCTTGGTAATCTTCTAGATCAGGATAGGTATCCTCCAGATGTAGACAGAAGAGCCTCATAGCACAGTGGTTAATCTGCTGTACTGCAGCCAAAACTGTGCTCACGACCGGGGGTTCTGTCAGGATATTGTAATTTTGTAGGCCTGAACCTGGATTAAATGTGTTATTAATGAACTGCCATTATGAACAGATGTGTGACTGCTGAGTCATTGTGGCTGATGAAGAGATGATGCAATGTCTGAAGATGAGATGATACCCTGGTGCAGAAGATGATGTAATGTGTTCTGTGATTGGACTGAAGAAGCTTTGTAAATGTATATAAGATAACAGTGTGTACATATCTTTTTCTTCTCTCTCTACCACTTGCTGCTATCCTCTATGCCGGTTTGTCTGATGATTGCCTACAACGCCAAAGTGCTGCCAGTCTGTATATTTGTACATTTTGTATAATACACCTGTCTTGCTAAAGAAGAAGAACGTGTCTGTGTCTTCAATTAACTCTGCATATTTTCCTGTCGATAAACCAGCCCAGGTAGCCAGCTCAAGGTTGACTTAGCCTTCTGTTCTTCCGAGGTCAGTAAAACAAGTACCCAGCTTGAGACTTTTTTATGTCTAAGAGCTGCATAAACCCACCTATGCACCTTGCTGGGTTGTACCAACATTTATACATTGCACTAATGGGATGGTACAGTGGTGCCTTGACTTACGAACGCCCCAATTTAACGGCCATTTTGAGGTATGACCAGCTCCGGCTGCAAAATTTTGCTTCTACTTGCGACCGGAGCTTCGAGTTACGACCAGAAGAAAGGTGGGGGGAAAGGCGGAGAATTTAAATTACTAACCATTGGTTGGTTAATAGGCTGCTTCTTTGTAGCTGTTTTGCCCCAACGGTTAGAGAGTGTGCGTTGGAGGAGGCTTCGGACTGCCTGGTGCTGCTTTCTGCTTCTGAGTGAGTACATACAGGGTTTTGCAGGGTGAGTTTGGGCTGGGGGGTTATGTTTCTGTGCTGTGGTTTTTGTGTGTGTGTGTTTTTCAGCCCCAGCGTGTTCCGATGGGGCTTGCACTTTTTTTCAGCCCCAGCATGTTCTGATGGGGCTTGCTCTGTTGGTGTGCATGTGTGTGTTTTGTTTCAGTCCCAGCGCATTCCGATGGGGTCTGCTGTGTTGGATTTTTTTCTTCTTTTTTTTGTGATTTTTAAAAAATCCAATCAAAAAGCTTTTCCATCCAAGATTACATTAAGACTCCTAATAGGAATCTCTATTGCATTTCTCCAGTAAGCATCCTAGACATTTGATCAGCAATCTTCCATGAAGTCAGTTTTTAACACTGAGACACACCAGAACCTCTTTCAATAATGATGAAGTACATGCAGACATACTTTTCCAAAAACCTCGTACTTCAAGGTTTTCCCACATGTATTGTCAGACCAGCCAGAACTAAGCAAAAC